GCTTCAGGGACTTGAGTTCATGTGCACCGATGGCCCGGGTCTGTGCGCGCAAGGTGACCTGGGGCCCGTGGTGCACCAGGTCCTGGGCCCGTGTGACAACATGGCCCGGGTCTGTGCGCGCAAGGTGACCTGGGCCCGTGTGCACCAGATGGCCCGGGTCTGTGCGCGCAAGGTGACCTGGGGCCCGTGTGCACCAGGTGACCTGGGCCCGTGTGCACCAGGTACTGGGGCCCGTGTTCACCAGGTGACCTGGGGCCCGTGTGCACCAGGTACCTGGGGCCCGTGTGCACCATGACTGGGGCCGTGTGCACCAGAACCTGGGGCCCGTGTGCACCAGGTGACCTGGGCCCGTGTGCACCAGGTGACCTGGGGCGTGTGCACCAGATGGCCCGGGGCCCGTTGCACCAGGTAGCCTGGGGTCTGTGCGCGCAAGGTGACCGGAGTCCGTGTGCACCATGGTGCGTGTCCGTATGTGCCAGGTGACCTGGGGTCCGTGGGCACCAGTGGCCCGGGGTCTGTGCGCGCCAGGTGACCTGGGGCCGTGCATTTGACCTGGGGTCTGCGTGTGCGCCTCAGGAGGGGGACTCTCTGGAAGTGCGCTACGCTTGGCTGCGTCCGGGTGGACGCGAGTATGGTCTGGGGTGCGATGGCGATTTTGACTGCTGACTGTGGGCGTGGACAGCGGAAGTGAGCTGTTGTCAAACGTAGTGACGGACGACCAGACTGACCTGCGAGCACGACCAGTACCCTTCGGCGGCGAGACGACTCGTGTATGTCGCGCTTATGTGTGTGACTCGTGAGACGACTCGTGTATTGTTGTATGTCTATGTGAAGAGCAGGCGTTTCGTCAGGAGTCGCCGCAACGCCGACTAAAGGCGCCTATGTCCAGTCTTCAACGGCAACAGTGTAGAAGACCGGGAAAACGCAGGTTTGCAGCACTCCTGCTCGAAGCGGTGGTGTTTACACGTCAGTCAGCGTCGACCACTTGCTCACCGGAGAAGGGTCCGGCGCCGGCAGGCTCCGCGCGCGCGCCCACATCTCGCGCTCATGCGTTTTCCAGTACAGGGACGATCTCTGCGGCGCACTTGATCTTGAGACCACCGCCGTGTCGGAGGTGGCCGTGCCGCAGCCGAATTTGAGGCTGATCTTTGACGTCTCGAGACCGTCCATGTGGCGATGGATGGGGTAGTCTTCCACCAGACTGGGGTCAGCCTGTCGGTCACAGTCACATGCAACGAGTTAGGGCATACATGCGTTAATTCTTCGTAATTTTTGTGTAAGTTAGAAGCCTCCGGTCCGGTAGCCTTCAGCAGAATAAATGGGCGCTGATGTTGATAACGTTACATGATTGGTTTGGTTTAATGCTGGAAAGGAATCACCCGATGCTTTTACATCTGACATTTTCGCACACGTGTGCAAGGTCTCCACAAACAACCTGCATTCTACTTAATCTCATGGCGCTCTTTCTTGACATAAGCACCCATTTACACTGCACCTATCGATACGGGTCAGCCAGCTAAGTTCTGTACAACCTTAATTTACCTACAACCAAATCTAAATAGGGGGAAACGTCTGTTTTTTCACCATGTTGGGTGGATGACTACCCTTTGGGCCACTCTCCAGGTGCACTGCTCGAGGCAGTTCCCCTTTCCCAGGATGTAGACGGGCGCTAAAACTATCAATCACTGGCGATTCCCCTACCAAACTACCGAACTACCGATCTGACAAACGATAAACTGACTCCATAACGCCTCCGCACATGTTCACATTGCAACACGTGGTTCAATCCTCGGTTCATCTGTTGCTCGTCTTTTTTTGCAATTTACGACGTAGTAGTTTTTTCCTAGCGGACTGTCGACGACTCTGGGTATAACTATTGAGGTCGTTGTTCAACGGATCCCATGCGTTACAAGTCAACACTGGGGTTCTTCTTCCTCATTTGATATGGATGATTACATTCGCTAGCGTTTATATGTCTTTAGGCATACCATGAGAAAGAGCGCAGCTTGCTTTACCGTCCAGAAAAAAAATTATTTAAGACAATGTATTCGTGCATTTAAGAGCCAAGTTTTGGGTCAGTAAGCGCTGCCCCCTCGCGGTGTTTTGAGCACGCCGAACAGCGCTTTCGCTCGGGCCGGGACCGGGGAAAATTGGTCCGGTCGCGTACTGTCGGCTGTTCTCCGCTGACGTGTAGCGTGAGAGGCGGCCCCTCACGATCAGCATCCGCACTTCAGTTCTCGCCTCACCTATTCTCTGTTGAGAGAGGTCCCTGACGGTCGCCATCTGCGCCCCTCGTCTCACCTGTTCTCCGTTGATGTACAGGGTAAGAGAGGTCCCTCACGGTCACCATCTGCTCCCCTCGTCTCACCTGTTCTCCAATGGTGTGCAGGGTGAGTGAGGTCCCTCATGGTCACCATCCGCGGCCGCTCGTCTCACCTGTTCTCTATTGATGTACCAGGTGAGGGAGGCCCCTCTCGGTCACCATCTGCGTTCCTCGTCTCACCTGTTCTCCGTTGATGTACCAGGTGAGCGAGGCGGCAGGCCGGCTCCTGGCCGATGTACAGTTGATCGACACGGGCTCGCCGATCCTGTACAGGTCCCGTGCGCCCGCTATCTTCGGTCCCTCCGATGGCAGATCTGACGAGCGAAGCATGGCCGTGTGAGAAGGCTGCTATGATCTCCCTGTGAGCGGAGCTGTGTAGCTGACGTCTGCTGCTGTCGGTTGCGATGCATCCAGAGGCCTGACAGCCACCGAAGCGCACGTTTAGTGCGCATGGATCGAAGCTCGCATGTAAGTTGACCTTGATGTCATCGGCATATTGACCATAACCATATTGTGAAGTACTAAGACATGTCCAACTACCAGCCCGCCAGACTGGTGAGCTACTGCGGTCGATGCGCTTGAGGACTCTTCTTGTTGCCGCTCTCTCTGGGCGCGCCTCCTGCGCGCGGCCTGCGAAAGGTTAGGTCGGCGCGCTCGTGAACGTCAGCTGTGATTCAGGGGCGGCGGAAGCGGTGATCAAATGTTCACGAGTGTTAATGTCAGATACTCTCGCATATCATGCACAGACAACGGCCGGTTCCTCCAAGCGACGCTTTAACTAGCGTTGATTGACGGATTTTACAGTAACATATGCGACCCCAGAGAAGGATATAAACAGGGGAGTGTACGGGAATACGCAACGGAGATTGGAAATACTTCAAAATATTCCCTAAAAACTCAGTTTTGGCACGTCTGCTGCGTGGGCATTTTCTAAAATAGTGTAGATAATAACTCATAGTCTTAATCTGCTTGGTTTTAAATGCCAGTCTAAAAATTTTTATTGTCAATATTTATTAACACGCATATTAATACATGTAATCTATATTAGAAAGCGTGTGTATGGAAGAGCGGACATTTGTCCTGGGTCATTACGTACGTTTGCTCCGGGATATCCACCACTGCCGTTTTTGCCAGATATACGTATACACAAATAAAGGATGGCACAATGCCGAGATTCTTAAGGCACTTTTAGTTTTATCAGCTGTTTGCTCTGCTGCAGTTTGTCGGCAAAATTTTGGCTTCTGTGCGGAGCGGAAATAGAGATAGAAGACAACAGTGCTCACTCAACTATTTTTTGTGTCCTATTTGAGTGAAAAGATGACAATGGTCGTAACAGGAAAGACAAGAGATATTCCATCGCAGCCAGGAGGATACACTGCAATTTTTACACATGTATATCACAAGGTAAGCCTAACAACCTTTTGTAAAATGAAACGATCTTCTGTTCGTGTGCTTACGCTGTACGGTGGAGACAAAAAAGAACGCTGAAGACTGCAAAAATAGTACTTCTGTCGTAAAACTGCAATGCACCAGCCATGCATCACAAAAGGCACGGGTATCAAACGGAAAATATGCTGCATGATGCTGCAGCAAACTCGCTGCGAAACCTCATCACTTTGACCAAGTCGCACTTAACGTAGCCCGCTGTATTACTTAAGTTGCCACACCTGCAAGACTTGAGGGTAAAAGCGTTGTAATACCCCCATAACACAGTGTGAAATGCTGTAAAAACATAGGCCATTGAGCGTACATACCAATTCAGTTTATTGCAGACTTACATAGACGCATGGCTCCGTTTATTGCATTCCGCCTTTTGAAATTAGCTGTGTTTAGAAAGCTGGACAAAATCCAGTGAGACTGAAGGAATGTGAGGCTTTCCAAAAGCTTGAAGAAATTGTGAGCATCGTTGAGGGATCGAGTCTTTCGTAATAACTCTTAGAAATGGCATCCTAGCCGATAAGGTAGCGGTTTCATCGCATCAACTTTTCCATCCCACCGTGCCGCGACCAGATTTGCGTATGACCTAAAGACGGAGGCGCGAACTCGGCCTCTGCCCGGCAGTCATTGGGCGCGAACTCAGTCCCTGCCCGGCAGTCCTCGGGCGCGAACTCAGCCTCTGCCCGGCAGTCCTCGGGCGCGAACGCGGTTTGTGCCCGGCAGTCCTCGGGCGCGAACTCGGCCTGTGCCCGGCAGTCCTTGGGCGCGAACTCGGCCCACGCCCGGAAGTCCTCGGGCGGTTTCTGACCTCCGTGACCTGGCAAGGTGGTGCCGGCTGGGGTCTTACTCACTACGTGAACGTTCGGGTGGACCTTTGCCGAATAACGCTTGTGTCATCGGTTTTACGGTGCGTGGTGGCAGCTTGGGCCTACACTCGGCTCGACATGGGAATAAATAAAAACTAATGCTCATGGCTTCAAAATGAACCAATTCAAATACCTTGGATTACAGCAATCCCACTCAGACCCAGTTTTATAACACTGGTTGGGGCTACGCATGCTGCGATCCACGGGATTAGCGGAATCCTGGCATTCTGTCTTTCTGTTAAACGAGAGGTCGTGAGTAGAGAAAGCCATGGCTCGTTTGCGGTCTTATTATGCACTGAGTCTGAAAAACCTGATCTAGCATTACCTCCCTACCTCTCTTTTTTCTTGTTTCGGAATATGTTCCTAAAAGATTGTTTCGAATGTACATCAAGGTTTGGTAGCGATTTTACTTTTATAAAGTCATGCTGCTTACCAAATATCCTGAAATCGCTGTGGACTTGACCAACATGTAGGGCAGCCTGAAGCCCTCCGAGCAAAGGAGAAAAGCCAGAGACAATCGTGAAGGGTCTCTAGAGGATAGAGAGCACCCCGGTAGGTCAACATATAGGGCCCTCGACAGCAGCGTAGAGCACTCCCTTCGGCCCTTTTAGTTCTTCCTGAAATGCGAAGGGCCCGAGACCACCATGGAAGGCTCCTGAACGATCGAGAGGGCACTTGCAAACAAACATATGGCACCACTGGTAGCGGCGTAGGTCTTCAGAGAACGTGATTGACCCTAAAACTTATGCAACCACGACCCTCCCTTTAGCCAAAAGTTCTGCATGCCTGATCGTGGACCCTATTTCCATTTGGGGTCCTTACCTGTCGCCCGGGGCCCGAAAACGTCCAATTTTTGGCGCTTTGCGTTAAAGACCTGCGTCCGTTTGGCCTGTTATGGGCCTATTTCAAGCCCAAGGGGAGGGACATATCGACCTCCCCCTGGTCCGCCGCTGGTTTCCGCCTCAGACTTCACTCACATTGCCAGCGTCAATACGGAGACGCACTGGGAGAGGTGGCTGTTGCCGCTTCAGGTAGGCAGAGATCTAGACATGTGCACAAAATGCTGTCCACTGCAACCCAAGATTGAAAGACAAAAAAATGGCTAATTCTTAAGAGGTTAACTTCTCGGGCGCACTACCCGATGTATGCCTATAGGCGGTTCGATCCGAATGGCCTGCACGCGCGTTCACGCGAGTGTGCGGGAAGTGCGAGGCGTGCCGTGCGCGCCGCCTCCGCCACGAGGCCTGCTTACCGACGACGCTCATGTACCGCTGTCCGTGGACGGTGACGTAGCTGGGCGCCTCGGTGGCGATCTCGCAGCGGTAGCGCCCCGCCGAGTTCAGAGGCACCGAACGCAGCACCACCGTCGTCATGTTGCTGGCGAACGTCTGCCGACACGAGACCGGCGACGTCGTTCAGGTCGAGGTCACTGACCTCCGGGGAAGGGGTCAACGGCACGGGGGTTTCGTTCGTTCGTTCGTTTATTCGGCGTTGCAGGAAGCAGCAGAGGATCAGGGCCAGACTCGTGGTCAGAGTGTAGCGCCTCTGACGGAACCCGTAACTCCCGCGCTTCGTGCGTGAGACACCGTGTGCTCGGCGTGCTAGCTGTCATACGCGGAAAGCATTGGTTTATTGGGAGTACGATGAGCAGGCCTTCAGTGCTTCGACGCTGTCTTTGTCTATGCGTTCTGTTAAAAAGGATTGCTCGTCAAAAAAATCGGCTTCCGTAAGGGAAGATATACCACGTTCATACATTTAGGGAACGAAAATTCAAGCTTTAAATTTTTACTTTCAACGGTTAATAGATACTTTAAAAAAACGAATAACGTAAAATCGACGAAGCTGGGGGCATCTCAGACCACTCCGCCCGAATATTGTGTGCTGAATGCACAATCAGACACTCCTACAAAATACACAAACATTGCCACTCACGTCAACAAAGATGCCGGGCCGGCTGAAGGTCTGAATGGAGGGACTCTCGCTAGGTGAGAAGCGATAGAACTCCTTGCCGTTTCTGTACCAGTTGACGATGTAGACGCGTTCGCCCCAGGCCAGGTCGAAGAAGCAGGAGAGCATGACCCTGGTGCCGGCCTGAACCGGCGACGGGATCTTCACCTTCGTCATGCGCAGGCAGGCCGAGTCTGCCGAAAAAGGACGCCACGCACGTCAAGCGCTGGTTATAGGCTTGTCCTCCGGAAAAGGCGCGGTCACGTCTCTGCTCAAGACGATTGCGGAAGACCTCAAAACCCTGGGCTTCGGCGCTGTCATCAGAAAGTGACAGTTGCAGGTGTGTGCTGCCAGATCGACATCAGTATGAGTCTTGTTGGTGCCCCAGGTCGAAATACATCAGGTGCGTTGTCAGTCAACGTTCACTCGGTCAGTCAGTTTGAAGCGTGCAGTTCCTTGGTGGTTTATGTGGTTAATCAGAGCAGACAATTGTCTTTTTCCATGCAAGTTTGAACCATCACGTCGATGTCGACGATCGTTTTCTGCTGCATGCAACAACGTTGTTTCGTCGCTTCCCAAACTGGGAACCAAGACGCTATCCTTTTCGATTGGAACGCGGAGGGGCCACGGCGCACTCCCCAAACCTCTTTTCGACGTTAATCCCCAACACGGAGAGCCACGTCATTGTCCACTGCGTTGCGTGCGAACGCACTTCATCGATGTTGCCATCATTCCCTCGTGAGAGAACCGCATGGCCCTCCGAGTCGCCTCCCACGCGGGAGGGCACGGCAGTCCCTTCCGCTCACGACACCCGCACACGAGCGGCCCTGTCGTCGCCCCGCCGTTAACGGCACCAGGCCTGATTCCACCGAGCGCCTGTGCCAGCAGCACATTAGCGTGCTTGTGCTGAATTCATTCAGGCCGCGTGATTCGGTCCCACTTATCACTACGATGACTGCCATGGCATTGCTCAGCTTGGCTGCCTGGAGGAGCCCGGGCACAGGCACGCGCGTAGCGGTGCACAGAAGCAGTAAAGTCAGGGTGTCGCGGCAAACGAGGGGAAAACTGTCGGCGTTTGTGCCAAGCGTTGAGACCTAATGATGTGCCGCTGCTCAATGCTTCACGACTGGTTTGCAAACACTGACGACCTGGCTTTTCTGACTCGGCCGCATACGTTGCAGTCTTCGTGTGGCGCGTTGCATTGCTCAAGCCTAGAACTTAGCGTCTTAATTTGGTGTTGTTTTTTAAAATAGTTAACAAAGGTCATTATTACAGGCGTTCCGGCAGCGGTAATAGGTGATACAATTTTTTAAACGGGGGCGTCGCTTGTAGAAATCATTGGGGGTTGAGCTAAGTGCCCGACAACCTAAATTTCCCACAAATATGTGCCTCTCAGCGAGTTTTCTCCTTTCCACCTTCTCAAGTCCCCGTGCCTAGCTTGTAAATCCTTTCTACCGCACTCCCTCCGTCACCGCGATCTTCCGTCTGCCGCATGATCTTCACCATATGGCACAGCATGAACCTCAATAGCCAAGAGAGCACGTGGACGCAAGTTTCCGTCAGCACAAGGCAAGCTGAAACAAGGATCTGTTTTCTCGTGCGCCCGCACCAAGCCTGTCTCTCCCTCGGGCGTAATCACCACTGGGGTTGGTGAGGTCCAGGGCCTGTTAGCTACGGAAGGTCGGATTGTTTTAATGTTCTGGGCATGTGAAACAGCACGAGAACAGATTGCACGAAAGTACCTTTAGTCAGTGGTTGCATCTCCGATTAAAGGCGCTTCTGTCTTAGTTATCGTCAGCACTCACATCATATATACATATATATATATATATATATATATATATATATATATATATATATATATATATATTTGGGGCCACCCTGCCCAGCATCGTGGTCATGCGCTCACCACGTCCCCCTACAAGGTGTCTTTATTAACCAGATCAGCAACAATCCCTCACAACTGACCGCCAATGTCATACTGCCTCTGTCATAGTGATCTCACCACTGACCGCCAATGTCATACTGCCTCTTACGCTTCTCGTTGAGTAGCTGGGGCAAGCTCACTGTCATTCCCGCTCCAACCGCTTTGAGCAGAGCGATCCCCCCCCCCCCTCCCCCCGGAATGCGGCGCCGCTCCGCCGCCGCCTTTCGTGACGCTGCGACGCTATCCCCCGTTATCCCCCGCTGCCGTACCTCGCCAGAGCTATCCACTCCCCCGGAATGCGGCGCCGCTCCGCCGTCCGCCCTTCGTGACGGCGCGACGCTGTCCCCCGTTATCCCCCGCTGCCGTACCTCATCAGAGCGGCCCTAACGAGCCGTATGGATCTTCCACGGTCGACATCGCTCACCGCATACTGGGGGACCGTCACAGAGACGGACATCCGCTAAATGTCCACGCAAGCGGTGACGTCTGGCTGGCGGAGAGCCCGTTTTAAAGGGTGGGGGAGGGGGTGGGGGGGGGGAGGGTGGGGGCAGGATGGCCCGTTGAGTCTAATGCGGTCCGTGACAAAACTTAGCATCAAAGAGCGTCCGCAGCGTTGTCCGCCTTAAGCCACAATCATTTTACGACGCCAAAATATTTGCTCACCAGGAAAGCAAATACCAGATACCATTCAGGGGAGTGGAGCCGGGCGGCAGTCACTGCACTCACCGTTGCAGTGGGTAATACGTTCGCCGCGGCGGTCGGAATTTTGACAAATGTTTATATTTCTCACATGTTTGCGAGGGGTGCATTGCCATGCACAAGTTGCATTTACACCAATCACCAGCGGAAAATTTAGTGATCCTTGCCTTTTTCAGGAATGCACTTCCTTTTTTTGTTTCGGCCTGACCTGATAACCAGTCACTCACTCCACAGGTTCAAGTGACACAACGCAACACATCGAGCCCGACAAGACTTGCCTCGCGCTCGCTCGTTCACATCTTTCTCATCCAAACATACCGCGCCCCGCCAGAGTCTACGAACGCCGCCGGTCACGTGACTCGCGCCCACGACCGGGCCGGACACCACAGCCGCCGCGTTCTTATGCCGACTCTCCGTTCGTGTTAACTAAGTGCAGTTAGGCGCGATTGGCGGGACAGGAAATCGTTGCCGGTGCGCGCCGTGCCAATCGTCCGGGCTCGGTCCGGCTGGCCCGGTCGCTAAACTTGTGTGACAGCGGCGGCAGTCAATATGCACTGGCCGGGCGGACAGGCAGCCGGCGGCAGGTCGTGATTGCTCCGGCCTCGGCAGCCGGCAGCGCCAACTTTCTCACCTGCGCCGGACGGGCGGCCCGGCCGGGCGCGGGCCGTCCGCCCCGAGACGGGCCCTGTCGATCGCAGACGATACGGCCGCGCAGGCAACTTGCTGGCATTGCGAGATTGCGAACATGCTGTTGGGAGTTAGACCCGTGCTCCGGAAGGGTCGCGATTGAGTTCCGAGAAATGTTTGCAGTTGATTCTGAGATGCTGGCAAGATATGCAGTGTTTTAAGCATATATCAGACCTCATTGCCTCTGTCGAATGACGAATCCGTGGGTAAGACCCAACGCTTTTCGTCCATTTGAGTGAGACCCCCACACTGTGTGAGCCTCGTAAGAACCCGTAACCTCGTAAGGTACCCGACATACGCACGTAGGTGCGCTTAATGTGAATAGATATTATTGGTCATGGTAATTCGCATAACGTGACACAAGAAAACAGACACATACCCGGAATATGTGTGTCAATTATCGCTCACAGTCCTATCTACTTCCGTTGGCGATCGCCGCATTGACTGGCCTTGCAGTTTTTCGTTCAGTCCATTCCAGGTTCTCAATACCGTGCATGCCAACCATAAACCTCTCCCAAATCGGTATGCCTTGCACATGGATCACGACCAGACCATGGGCATATGATTTAGGGCACAATGCCGCGTCACGGCATGTGACAATCAAGCTGTAAGAAGCGGCCAATACTACCTTTGCTTAAGTGATAAAACATTCGTAGTTGCATAAGTCAGGGGGTAAGCTGTGAACATAAAGAAATGAAACATTCCGTGCAGTTGCTTTGCTGGTGCTGGATGACTGATGTTAGTGTTTGCCCCTACCTCTCACCTGACTGCGACTCCTTCCAGAAAGGTGGCTTGTAGCCCGTCCCACTCCGATCAGGCCGTTTTCAACTCGTAAAACTGCGTGATTCTGCTCTGGCTCAATCTGAAAATTTTGCGTGCAGCGCATCGTGTATGATACGTTATGTCTAGTATGCGGTATACTACGCCTATGTATGACATGTCAATCAAACGGCCGGTATTTCACCAAAATAAATGCCTGGCGAATGACGGGCCCAGTGACGTCAGCCGGGCCAGCCCGAGTCACGAGCCCGCTGAGAAGCCTGCCGCTGGCCCCGTGTGACGCCCGGCGGCATTCTGGCCACCAGGGGGCCGCCCTGTGGACGGCTCGTGCTCATCTCTTCCGCCTGCGGGCTGCGCTTCGGATGCGTCGCGCCTTACGGAGGCCCGCGCGCAACAGCGGAGTACAACTTCTCATCGAAATTTGCGCGTTACATCCTTCCGCCGTCACATCGGACGGGAACTTCGGGAGGTGAGACAGGATCCACGCGTGGGGGACGAGGCATCACCTGGCGCCGCCGTCTGCCTCTGCAAGCCGCACCACCCCGTCAAACAGCTAACTCAGTCAGCGGTCACCGTGACGCCTGATGGAGGGCAGGCGGCGCGGTGACCGGCCGACGGACCGACCGGCGTCACGCGCGCCATCGCAAATGCATCGTCTCACTGTCCGCCCCCAGGTGGGCCGTGCCAGCCTCCTGATCAGGAGTCAGGAGATCAGGAGTCAGGGCGGGTGGGAGCGCACGGTGCGGTGCCGTGTGCGGCCCGTCTGCCACTTACAAAGCCCTCTCCCTGCACTGGCGACGCTGCCGGCGGGAGGCGAGTGGCCCGGGCCCGGACTCAGACCGCAGCAGCCCCGGCCGGCGTCTGCGGGGGCGAACCGGCCTCCCGTTGGTGCCGGCCGGCCCGCGCGTTCCTGGCCGGGGCCATTGACGGCGCTTGGCTGACGGCTGGGGGACCTGGACCCGCATCAGTCCCTTGCTCCCTCCGACCACCAAGCCTGATTGTGACGTCATGCGTCTTATTATAACTTGCCTATCTGCACGCACGTCGGCAATTTCGCAATTTCGCCCTTCACGCACCTCAATCTTCACCGGAATAATTTGGCTATTTCACAACAACGCTGTATAGAAAAATACGCCGTCATTGGAATCCGACTGAGAGATGAAACTCTGCCCATTGCACAGCAGCTACTGATCTTATTTGGGAAACATGGATTAGCTAGATGTCCACCAATGCTCTTCCTCTGGAGATTTGAGATTAGCCTCCATTTTTAAGCTGACCATACATTGTAATTTTCTTTCATGTAAATGTAATATTTTCAAACGCTGCCAGCCAGCTATTGTGAAATACTGCAAATAGACTTCCGGGTCAGGTCAGGCTAAATATGCAGGCCTATCGGATCCGAGAGCTGTGTTTCTAATCTTGACCCACTAAAGGCGCTACATCGCAATGACCCAGGATATTAAACATGCGCTGAAGGATAGATGGCCTGCATGGATCAGGCCATTGCTTTTATCTGAAGACAGATAAAGAAGTGCCACAGCTACCATGTGAACGCGAAAGGGGCGGCTGGCTACTTCGCGCCATCACAATCTGGGATCGTTAGGACTTTTTAAGACGGATTTTTTTAGACACAGTTTGTTAACAGGAAAATTGCATCGTCATTATTACTGGCAACGCAATCATGGAAATCTGCGAGACAAATTCATGTGTTTACACGCAACGCGAGATGTCAAAACACTAAGCGTCGTCAGCAGGCGCAGTTGCTTTGAGCTAGGCCCAGCACTTCATAGTTCCATGATGACTCGAAAGAGTGCATTTCCGCGGGCGTCGGCGTTGCGTCTGGCATGTGATAGCCAAACTAATGAAACACGAGGCAGAGAACAATGCAATTACCGACTTCGGCAACCACCCCAGTTGGAAGTTGTTACGACGATATTTGATCATTGGTCGCGTGTGTGTTCGTGATCGTGCTCATGGTCTTATGTCAGCTTGTGCATTTGAATTGAGAATGAGTAGTTCTGAATGAAAACAAAGCATCGCATCAATTTGATAAAGTATCGCAACAAAGCATCACACCATGAAGCACTGCAACATGGTTACGAAAACCGGGGAAGTCATAGTCCGTGCAGGTGTGACAACGCAACGTTGCGGCGCGCTGGCCATGACAGTGATGTAAGCCGGTCAAACCAAGCGTCGGCGCATGGCAAGCGTGCGGTCACCGGCCGCGCATCGCCTTTTGGCAAGGACATGCTCACCAGCGAAACATGGCAAATAGGCAGCACAGTGGCCGGGTATGTACCCGAGTACAGCACAGCGTGGTAAACACGGTAGTAAATCTGGTACGGTAGACGTAGAATGATCCGGAAGTCAATCCGGTGAAGTAAGTCCGGGCACGCGCGTTAAGAGATACAGACAAACGACACAATGGTCAGGCACAGCGCGACGGCCAGATACAACAGCTTGGCAGGATAAAGCCCAGTGATGGGTCACGCGGGCATAGTTCAGGTTCAAACACATCTCGGAAGTAAAGAACAACCGGTGATAGCGTACAGCACAGCGGGCGCAAGCACTGAAGCGACCCGACGTGCCCCAGTGTCCAGGGCACAGAACGGCAGTGGAGCACGGTACAGGCGCAAGACAATGCCCATTGACTGCACATGTTGTGACAATGACTTGCAATGCACTGACAACACGGCTCGGACACGGCCCTAGAACACTGCGGCGGCCGAAGAGAGGTCAGGCACGCCTCAGAGGAAAGACACAGCCCAGACACGCACATCAGCGGTCAGACACAATCCATTGAGCGGACGCGTCCCACGCACAGCTCAGTGCGTGGACGCGGCGTAGGCACAGCTTAGTAACCGAAGGCGGCCCCACGCCGCGCGCTGGCCAGAGCCCGCGGGGCCGGCCAGGACCGCGGCTCACCTCTGACCGGCGCCAGCAGCAGCAGCGCCAGCAGCAGCGCGTCGCCGACCATGTCCCACCTGCACACCTGGCGCCGCGGCCGTCGCCCGCGCGTCCAGCGCCGCCGGCCGTCGCAGACTGCCGACGGTCGGCGTCGGCGACGCTCGGCGGCACGCGACGGCGCGCGGGGGCGGGGGGGGGGCTGGTTTTGTTGACGTCGCTGGAATGCAGCTCATCGACCCTATCAGTGGAGTGATAAGAGTTGACGGGCGCCGTTCGGCTGGCGTCGGGGGCAGGCCGGACGGGCGACAGCGGTCAGGCTGGGTGGCCCGCCTGTCGAAGAGTCGGGCCCATTGCCATGTTGCAGGCGGACGTCGATGCCGATGTCTGCCGTTGATCGGTGTTAGCACGTCATCGGTCTGTGTTGCAGGTGCTTAAAAGAAGGAAATAGGGGTCACCAGTCTGGAATGGTAATAGGGTATTTTGATGATGTCTGCCATTGATGCCTGCCGATAGACGTAAGCTCCCTGTTATTTGAGTTTCCCGTGAGTGAAATATCAGGGAGACCAGTGGCGATTGCCATATTCATCCTCTACCTACAAGGAAGTAATGAACCCGGCCTGGGTATTTGTAAAAGCACCTTAGATACTGTCCCAACCTTGGCCGCATAATGGCGGGGCTGACATACAAGCACGAGCCGTGATGCCAGCCCGACTTGGTTTGTTTGGCCAGTGGGCTGCGGTCGCGGTGGTGGCTGGGACGGCTCTGTCTCACTAATCCCGTGTCTCACTAATGCGAACACAGGCCACACACGGGCCGGTGTGAGCTTGGGCAAACCAAACAAGCACCAAAACAACCGACATGCAAATTATTGTTCAAATGTGTGACCGTTCTGTATGTTTAAAGTTGGCAGCTACGGTCGCTGTGTGCATTTCACTGCTCAAGATTTTAGTCGCGTTTTGTTGTGTTTTTATATCCCGTGGCTGTAAGACGTAGTTCAGCTACAGTGAATTATTAAAACGTTTGGGCCGTCGCGTTTCATCATGGGTTATGTGCTATTCCTGGCGAAAGCCGCTACTGTTATTAGACCACGCTGTAGGAACTTCCACATGATAAAGTGCATTCAGATGCGACGGAGACGTCCCTCATATTGTTGCCTCGCCGACTTTGAGCAGACGCTAATTAACCCGTGCCAGAATTTCTCTGCAAAAGCTTTTGTTTGCATACGGGCGATGAGGCTGGTACATAAGTCAGGTCACGTGCTTTCATTGTAATGTCTAAGTGACTCGGAAGTGGCGCAGTCTGCCTGGTTATTGGTGCCGTATAGATGTACGCGACAAGATTTAAATGGTTTTGCCCTGGGTTCAGTTCGTGTGTTTTACTGTACACAACGCTCCCTTCAACTTTGACATGCCGACGGATTTAGACATATTCCTCTGTTCTGATCAACTTAAGACTTGTCCTCGTATTTTGGCCTGTTTTAAAGGTTCCTGAAAAATCCGGGCAGCCACCAAATACAGGCATCATCATCCTGTTACTTATTTTCATATAGAGACGTGTCACCAATACGAATGCTGCACCTGTGTCAATGAATGCATACGTTGTCCAAAAAACGTGCTTCATCGCTGAAAAAATATAGTTTCTTTCAGTGATGGAGCACGTTTTTTGGACAACGCAGGACGATAACGCGGGACGATGTCCATAACATATAGTTGTTTATGAACATCAAAATTATACGCTCATTTATTGAATATTTAGGTTCATATTTAATTACAGCCACGAATCCTTGGTACTTTAATCCACAAGTACGCTCAAAGAGATACAATCGTCAAAAATGGACTCATAAATCGCACCGACAACGAAAGGATTAAGCCTACGTAGATGAATTGGTGTTATCATACGCTTTGAATACAGTGGCCATTTCGCGCCCACACACCCGCTCCACAGATGTGAAACCTCTGTTGTTGTTTTTCTTTTGTCACTCAGCAGCGTTCTTGCCTTCTTTTTATGTCACACAAAAAGCATGAAGCCTCTGGTTTCTGGCACACATGCATCTTTATTGACATGTGAAGTGCAGTGAGTTCGCCGTCAGACCGGCGTGGCTGACGACGTGGAGCTGCACCCCCGGACCACTTTGGAAGATCTCGTCGATGACGTTAATCCGCTGCTCAGCAGGTGTCTGTTGGTGACGCTGAGGCGCCAGCTGGGCATGCAGCGCTGCCAGCCCACCACGCCTTAGTTTTTAGGAGCGCTCTGCGTTCAGTGTACGTTCCTGACTTGACCGCAGCGATTTTAACCGCGGTGAATCAGTCAATCTTGACCGTGATGAGTTGGCCACCGATTTTGGGTGGCCGGTTATCACGATGAAAAAACACAACTTCTAGTTGCCGATTGTACCTGCCTATTCTCCATACCAAGCATGGGGTCCCCCTCAGTGGGTGCGTGGAGGCGAATCCACAATTTTTTACAGAACATAACATCATGGCTGTCGCGTTCCATGCGAAGGAACTCTTAAAAAACCTGACCGATCACCAGCACTTTTGTCCCGTGCTGAGGCTACTGGAGCAGCAGCTGAGTCACCAGAAGTAGCTGTCCTACCAAAGCTTGAATCGAAGCTTTTGCAATGTAACGCTAGACAGTGCTGCTTCGGCCTGTGTTTACGAATGGCAGCGTGCCGGACCGTTGCTGGGACGCGCACCCAGGGTGCGGACCCAGGCGGCCTCGGACACACACACCCGCACATCTGCCATGGAGCCTGCGGCCAGCTGCAAGGGAGGCAAGAGGATTGGGCGCCGGAGGGGGGCGGTCAGAGTCTCAGTTTGGCACAGCGGCGCCGTCACGGGCAGGCCCGCGCCGGTCGGCGCTGGAGACAGAGGAGGGCGGAGACTAACCTCGTGCCCACGCCAGTCACATCACTCAGCTGCCCAGAAAGTAGGCTAACAGAAGGGCTGTCCATCCGACGGGATAGTGGCGACCATTACGACAGACGGAACAGGTGCTGGCCGTCACAGGTGATGCCTGGACATCTCCGCCGAGATTAGCCGGCTGGTCACCTGGTGCGTAGCATAGCAGCTCCGTGCTTTGCTCCGCACGTGTGATATCCAGCACAGATTAGACGCTTTTATTTCCATGTGGAAGCAATTCATCTGGTTCTGGGACACACGACAGGGCAGGGTTTCATGGAATTATGATAGCAATGGCAATGCAATTAAAATACCAGCGTGTAATTGTCACGGATCGTGCGTGCACACCGCGTCAGAACGCCACACGTTACCGTTGGTCCATCCTCAGGGAATGCCATCACAACCGACGCCGGCGGTGCGGGTGGTCTGGTCTACACAATTAGCTTAGCCGTTCTCCCTCATTTCTTCTTTCTGAACACTGGTTGCGGGGCTCTGACAAAAACAGGAAGCATTATTTAATTAAAGAACTAACTTCTCATACCGCGACGCCGCCGAAGCCATCCCGCCAACTTGGCATTGATGAAGGCACGGTCCCAAGGCTTCCCGACCAGCGATTAAAGCAAGCGACATTATAACCGGTGAAGCCAACAAGCATAGCAATCACGGATACGTCGGCCCGCAGCAGCAGATTGAACGCACAAATAATGCGTCATTTGCAGCTCTCGGATGTTTCTACAGCAACTGGACTATGTTGGGCGATATGCGCGGTTGGCGACGGCTGCAGCTGGTGACTGAACGCAAAATAATGCGTCATTTGCAGCGTTCGGATGTTTCTACAGCAACTGGACTATGTTGGGCAATATGCGTAGTTGGCGACGGCTCCAGCTGGTGACTGAACGCGAAATTAATGCGTTATTTGCAACGCTCGGACGTTTCTACAGCAACTGGACTATGTTCGGCAATATGCGTGGTTGGCGACGGCTCCAGCTGGTGACTGAACGCAAAATTAATGCGTTATTTGCAACGCTCGGACGTTTCTACAGCAACTGGACTATGTTCGGCAATATGCGTAGCTGGCGACGGCTCCAGCTGGTGACTGAACGCAAAATTAATGCGTCATTTGCAACGCTCGGACGTTTCTACAGCAACTGGACCATGTTCGGCAATATGGGTAGCTGGCGACGGCTCCAGCTGGTGACTGAACGCAAAATTAATGCGTCATTTGCAACGCTCGGACGTTTCTACAGCAACTGGACTATGTTCGGCAATATGCGTAGCTGGCGACGGCTCCAGCTGGTGACTGAACGCAAAATTAATGCGTCATTTGCAACGCTCGGACGTTTCTACAGCAACTGGACCATGTTCGGCAATATGCGTGGTTGGCGACGGGCAAAATGTCGGCGTGACAGGTCACACCCTCGTTCACCGTTGCGTTCCTCGCGGAACGATACGGCAGCCGCAAAAAAGAAGCCTGGCGTTGCGTGCATCTTGGAAAAACTGAGTCAGCTATTATGCATGTATTCGAGCTTTTCATAAGAACACATATGCAGTCACACCACCCTCAGGACAAAGTCTGCTGTATTTGCACCGAGTCGACCTATATTTGCGGACAAGTCCTGAAACGGCAGCTGTGACATTCGCTTTCTCCTCCGACAGCAGAAATAACGTGTGACCCGATCTGTCGTGACGCGGAGAACTGACCCCAGCGCCAGGCCGTGCGTTCCGGTATTCCGATTTTAAAATAGAAATCAATTATCACATGTTTCGAGCCGCTGGCCGTTCCGGCAACGCGACGATGGCAAAGACTGCCACCATCGCTCCCAGCTGCCAGGACATTGCAGATCCTCAGAAGCCAGAATTCAGTCACCATGGAGATTCGGCCGAGGGTTCTTCGTGCCTGTTGAGTGGGCTGCTGTCACTGCAGCGCTGCCAGTGCACCATCCTGTTGCGCGTGCAACCAACGATGGGCCGTTCTGGACGTCACACGGCGAGACGTGTGAGACAGTGGGCCGTTTTAGCCATCACATGGCGTGTGAGACAATGGGCCGTTCTGGCCGTCACACGGCGAGACGTGTAAGACAATGGGTCGTCCTGACCGTCACACGGCGAGACATGTGAGACAATGGGCCGTTCTGGCCGTCACACGGCGAGACGTTTAAGACAATGGGCC